TACAGAGGAGGAGGAGATCATGGGCAAAGCTTGGTAGATTTAAGTGCAGAGGTGGAGAATGGGTAGGCCACCGGATCATGGCCAGCAATTCCTGTCTGCTTCAGTCAATATGGCACATGTTGGATGATGGAAGTTACCTCTAAACTATCCTATGGAGAGCCAGATGTTACACATCCTTGCTCAAGCAGAAACCAGTGGGTGCTTGTGGCTCCAATGTCAATAGGGTCCATGAATTCACTCCAAGTGAATTAGTTCAGGCTTTTAGGAGCTATCCATGGCGCTGAATGCATGGTGAGATGGTTTTTCAGCACCTTGGATAGCAACTTATGAGCTATCTGAAACCCAGAATGGATTCACCAACCTGCTTGTATGGGTCACTATTGGCGTACCAACTGCCACTGGCAGGATGTGAACTAGTTGCAAATGTTTTTGTGGCCAAGGCTCACAGGGACAGCAAACTAACCCTGTCCTTGAGTTTATTACAGTTGGCCCTCCATATCCACAGATTCAACCATCCATGGTTCAAAAATATCCCCTTCCCCCATAACATTTTTCCAAAAATCAAATCTTGATTTTTGCCATTTTATATAAGGGACACCATTTTACTATGTCATTGTATATAATGACATCCATGGATTTTGGTTTCCAAGGGGGGGTCCTGAAACCAAACCCCAAACAGGGAATCCAACCCTGGTCTCCAAAGTCATAGTCCCACATTCAAACCACTGTGCCACACTGGCTACACTGTTATAAGGGTTTCTTGGCAAGATTTGTTCAGAGGATGTTTCCCTTTGCCTTCCTCTGAAGCTGAGAGAGTATGATTTGACCAAGGTCACCCAATGGGTTTCTATGTCTGAGCGTGGATTCGAACCCTGGCCTCCTGGAGTCGTCCAATACCCAAACCAGTACACCACCCTGCTTCTCAAGTTCCACTACATAGTAATAGGGGGAAAAAAGAATGCATTGTTATAGCCATGAAGTCCTGCCAGTACCAACATTTTGTCCTTTCTATCTCTCCCCCCCCCCCCCCACAAATCCTTTGCCCATTTGCTGCAGATGCATTTTTATTTCTCGGACAAAGTGATCCTTCTGTTTGACTTCTGGAACGTCCACAGCCCAGCAGGTATGAAAACAAAACAGTCTTATCTAAGTAAAAATATATGCTGCTGACCCAAATTAGAGCAACACTAGAAGACTGAGGAGATTATAGGAAACCTTAGCAGGAGAGAAGATAGAGCACGGTTATGAAAGATGGCTCTGTTCAGCCAGGTACTTGAGCTCTTTTGAGATAACAACTCTCCTTTGAGTTCTTGACTTCATAATCTTTCCTGAGTCCAAAATGGAAAGGTCAGGTACACATGCTGGGTAAGAGAACAACAAACTTCCAACCAGTCTGCTCATTGTTTTTGTCTTTTTAAACACTTATACAGAGATTGGAAGTTGCATGTCCTAAGTGACAAAAACTACCTGCAATATGTACTGTTCTGTAATCGCATCAACAACTTTATTTTCTAAAAATAACCCCAAGAAAGTGTTACTTGTCCCCCTACACATTCAGTTGAGAGAAACCCTGGTCTGCTACTTTCATTTGCCATCCTAAAGGCAACACTGCTAAGAACTAATTTTAACTGGGGGGGAAAAGGAGTCAGGGTGCATTTCTTGGAGAGGAACAGCAAACTCATTAAGCAATGGGCTTGATCCTTCCAGCTCAAGCCCGTTGCCTAATCCATTTGCTGTTCCCCTCCAAGAAATGTGTCCCATGCTTTGGTGCAACTCTTGCCTGCTGCTCAAAGTGAATGACACCAGCAAATCACTCACTAAAAATATGCATGTTGTGAGTCGAGTCACCATGTCATTCATTGCTGAATCGAGTGCAAGGTCCATAACACATTGCAGAAATAATCCAGTTTGAGACTGCTTTAACTGCCCTGGCTCGGTGCTAAGGAATCCTGGGAATTGTAGTCTGTTCTGGCACCAGAGCGCTCTAACAGAGGCTACATGTCTCACAAAGCTACAGTTCCTAGAATTCCATAGCATTGAGCCAGGGCAGTTAAAGCAGTCTCAAACTGGATGATTTCTGCAGTGTGTTTTGGACCCAAGTCAAATCATTGAAGTGACTTAAATCTGAGTCAGTCGAATCAAGTCTACATCACTAGGGATTGCCACCCCACTGATCTGGAAGCCACCAGCACAATTGGCAGTCTTTTAGGTTTGAATCTTGTTGGGGCATTACACTGGTGTAACTCCTAATTAGACCAATCTAATGCCCCACAGAGATTGCAGACTGAGATTTCACCAGATACCTTTTGAAAACTGCTTTTCATGCAATTCTCCGCTTAGTCAGAGAGGTATGAGATAACAGCCATACTCTTCCCCAAATGTAACTCTCTTTCTTTTGACAGGGATGGTCCTCTCAGTTGTGGTCATTATGCTGCTTGCAGTGCTGTATGAAGCCATCAAGGTGGGCAAGGTGAAACTGATTCAGCACACAATGCCAATCATCCCCCCCAGCATCAGCCAGGAGACTTTACAAGAACCAGAGAGAGGATCTATTAACACAGGCACAACCCACCTAACCAGCACTCCAAAAATGTAAGAAAAAATGGGGCAGAATGATGGTGGGAAGGGGAAGATTGTCCCTCATCTCTCCAAAGACTAGCAAGTTCAGTAATGATCTTCTAAGCAGGAGCTCCCTAGCCTGAAGAATTCCTACCTGAAAGAGTTGCACTTGGCCTCATCAGTTTCTCCTTGATGAAAAAAGGTGTTCCCCGATATCCTGGATCAACGACTTAGTTATGAATGTGTAAAGAAATAACATCTTTGGGCCAATGCCAACCTAAACAGCTAGCAGCCACATTGAGTAAAGGAGATCTGTTCAGTTGCCTATCAGGGTGCAAGGGAGATGACATTTCCATCTCTCCTGGCAGCAAATGAGACCATGACAATCAGAAGCAGGAGCCCTGTTGGAATTCCTCATTGCAGCCTCCCTCGTTGGCAGGAGTGAATTGGAAATGTTATCCTTTTGTGCTTCGATCAGCAGCTGAACAGACCTCTTTTGTTTGTTGTGGCTGTTGACTGTGGTCTTGGAGGGCATTTATAATCATGATAATAATGCTACCATCTTGACTATACAGTTGGCCCCCCACATTTGTGGCTTTGATTTTTGTGGATTTCATTATTCACAGATTTGGTTAATATGTTCTCTCTAGGAATCTATAGTTCCTCCTCCAACTCTGTGGTCAACGTCAGCCAGAAATCAATCTGGAGGACCTAGAGATTCCTAGAGATAACACTTTTCTAGGCATTTGTAAGCCCTCCAGTGCAATTCTATGCTCAACTTCTGACAGATGTTGAGCATAGAGTTGTGCTGGAGGACTTAGTGATTCCTAGAGAAGTGTTCTCTTAAATAAAAATATATAGTGTTTTTGTTATTTGTGGGTTTTCCACTTTCATGGGGGTCCTGCACTCCTAACCCCAGTGAATGTGGAGGGCCCATTGTATAATGTTACTGAATACAGTCATCCCCCTGTATCCATGGATTCTGCATCCATAGATTCAACCATATATATCTCCCTTCCTCTCTCCATCCTTCCTAAAAGCAAATCTTGATTTTGCTATTTATATAAAGGATTTCATTTTACTAAGCCATTGTATACTAGGTTGCTGGAAAATGAGTTCAAAGCCCAAAAGTAGTTTGCAATCAGCAGAGAGGAGAAGAGAAGGAATCTTGTCATTCCCAGGAGGCTAAGGCAAAAGCAAAGTGCTGCAGTGTCTCCTAGCTTGTGTGCTCTTCCACCTGTTTTGCCATCTCAACTACATCTGACATTGCTTAGCCAGACATGTGCCACCTTTCATCTGTGAAATGCTGAAGGGTATGCCATTGTGTTACAAAAAGGGCAAGGGTATGTGGTGCCCTCATGCTGTCCTTATCTACCCTAGGATTAGATTATTATTTTTTAATGCAATGGAATATGGTAGAAAAGGAGATGTCTGGCTGCCCAGAATCCTGGAAGAGAACCATGCCACACTGTGCCATTGATTTGTAGACCTTGCTTGTTGGATTTAGAAGTTAAACTAGTTTTGATGTGAAAGTTATGAGGTATGGAATGCAAGACCAAGAGAAACCAAGGGCCAGAAAGTGAGGAAGAGGGAGGCTTGTCCATTCCAATATGTCTAGGACTGGGACCTAAAGCTGTTAAAATAGCAAATGCTATTCATAACGCCTGCAAATCAGAACCCCATCATTTGGTCTAACATCCTTTTTCTTTTTGCAAAAGCCAATTCCCTTGGCATGTAGCCCAGACCTTGATCCATGTGGTGCAGGTGGTCCTTGGATACCTGGTGATGTTGGCTGTGATGTCCTATAACTCGTGGATCTTCCTGGCTGTGATAGCAGGCTCGGCCATTGGGTACTACGTAGCATATCCACTGCTCAGTGTCCGATAGCAGCGCCATGGTCTACTCTCAACTCAACTCAAAACTCAACTGGACAGGCTACCCAATTGGTGTATGAAGAACTGATCCAACTAGGACAGGCCAGTTACTGGGATATGGAAGTCATCTCAACAGTGGTTGCAAGTCTTTTTCCCCACCTAATCTGATCTTTGAGCTCCACCTGCATAAGACTACTGACTCCTAATTTTTATCCTGTTTTCAAACAGCATTTTTTTGCTTCCAGATTTATTTTTAAAGGATCCTCAAGTGCTTTCGAACACACTTCTGAAGACTGTCCCTATGTAGCTGCAGTTGTTAGGAAAGCTGGCTTGCACATCGAGTGATATCACAGGTCCACCAAATCTTAGATTGTCTGGTGTGACCAGCTGCAAATTTCCAAGGTCTCAGGCAGAGTATCTGTGTGTGGTTGCTGTTGTTGTGTGCTGGGTCTTAAACTACAGTTCCTATCCAGAGCCTGTTCCAGTCACAGCTTAGCAATGTTAGTGTTAAACCCTTAAGGCAACCAGTTTATTAATGTTACAGAATGTCTTGTTTAAAACATTGGGGGCAAGATGGTGTAGTGGTTTAAACATTGGACTATGATTCTGGAGATCAGCGTTTGAATCCCAGCCTGGCCATGAAAACTACTGGGAGTCACACTCTCTCAGCCTCAAAGGATGGCAATAGCAAACCCCTCCCCAGAAACTTGCTAAGAAAATCCAATGATAGGGTCACCATAAATCAGAAATGACTTGAGAGCACACAACAACAAAACCATTCTTAAATTTTAAAGCACTTTGCAAATGATGAAATTTTAAAAGATGTTTGAAAAATATAAAGGAAAATAGGGGCCAGTGCATTAATTCTTAACCAACTGTTTCCAAGGTTAGCTGCCTTGAATACCATTTTGGGACAAAGGTGGGATATAAATCCAATGGATAAATAATAATTAAATAAGGTGTTTACTAGGCCTGGCCAAAGTGTAGTCCTTGGGACTCTAAGGTGCAGTGCCTGAAGTCCACCAAATCCTAAGCCTCCCACCCCAAATTTTAATCTTTTATGCAAATTTTCAAGTGATCTTTCATCCCAAATGAACAGGTTTACCTCCTGCAACTCCCACCCAGAGGTCCAAAAAATTGGCCAAAATTGCCACCAGAAGCAACATGCTGAAATGTGACAGTGTGACCCACCAGAGGAGTGCAGAGGGGTAGTGGTGTGTCCCACCTTGGCATTGTCGTAATTCACTTAGAGAACTGAGAGGTTGTGTGGTTGACTTGGAGGCACACAACAACAACAACGATGATCTTCCCACCACCCTCTCCATGGGAGACATGTCAATCTATTTGTGTAATGAGAAAGCCCACATCATGCTAAGGATGAGACGGGTTATACTAACATTAAATAAAGCTGGATTTTATTATTAATATATAAGCACATTTTTTTTAAACATTTGGTATAAGATTTGCAATAAACTATCTCAGAGAGAGACAGGAAAAAGGCAGGCTTTGGATCCAAAAGATTAAGGCACTTTTCAAACAATCTGAAGAGCCCAACAGGGCAAATTCTCCCCCATCCATTTAACAGGAACTATCAAAAATATGGAACAGAGAATGAAAATTGGAATGCTACCACTGCAGGTAGTTGAGGTCATGGGCAGTTTCCCCTCTCAAGTCTTCCTCAGATACACAACACCCATCTATAGGATTTTTCTGTCTTTAACAGGACCTATTCCCAAATCAAAGATGTCCTTGTAACACTCATAATAAAAGACACTCCATCCCACCATGACCAAATCTCTAGACCTAACTACATACATATGGATGTCCATGCACACCCATACATGATATTTATGTTTTCCCATCCGTTAACCTTTTCCAGCCATTAAAAACAGGTGCATGTTGGTACAGAATAACAGAACACCTGGATGTGGAACAGGAATCCTGAAGGCCTTTCAGATGTTGCTGCACTGCAACTCCCAGCACTCTTCCCCAGGGGCTATGGTAGATAGGGAGTTGCAGTCCAACAACTTTGGAGGGCCATGATTCCCACCCTAGTCCACTGAGAGTGTATCTACGTTTCAACTGCAGCAGTGATAGAAACTATTCATCCACTTGCTCCCACACTCTCTGCTCCAAAACAGCTTCTAGATAGGCTTTCCAAAACTGGTTCTTCTCATACATCTCTATTCTCAAGCCAAGACATGCTCATGTTTCACCTACAGTATCCTGCAATTGGGACTCCTGGACTCACTGCACAATTCTAGAAGAGGACCAGGAGACAGGGAAAGAGCTACTTTCCTTGCCATATTGAGCCCATTGAAGCAATGTTAAGACCTGGTGGGGATCTGAGATGGGAACATATCTCACCATTAGCCCAAGGAGGGGTAGACTGGACAAAATCAGGCAACCTGTCTAAAGCTGGAAAAGTAGGGGACGAGACACCCAACATATTAGCAATAATAATAAGAGGTCAGACTCTCACTCCTATGGGGTAAAGAGAAAGTCTTGGAGGATGCAGAAGGCAACTAGGGGAGCTTGACAAATAGCCAAGTTAGGGGATAATAAGTCAGCTCAGAAAAGACATGGGAAAAGCATCTGCCATACAGATCCCAACTGCCATTCTTTGTTACATTGCTCCAGGCATTTCTTAGCATCCCCTATAAAGTGTCTTTTCAGTAGAAACAGGTGGAGGAGAGCCAACACCCACACCCAAAACACTCCCATTGTGAAAGACAGAGAAAAGGTGCAAAGAAAGGGGGTTGGGGGATGAATCCACGTCATGACTACAGTGCCCCAGAAGGCTCAACCCTGCTTCCAAGAGGCAGCCAGTTCATTCTGTCCCCCTCCCATCAAATAAAAGAGGCAACCTCTTCCAGAGGGGTTGAGCACAAAGGTAAGGGTGTTACTGGACCAGCCTAGGTGGTCTCTATATTCTCTCCACCTCTCACCCCTGTTTTGCAGAGTTCCTGCCTCCTTTGGTGTTTACATGGTCAAGAGAAAACCTCTCTCATAAGCCAGCGAGGGTCACGATTCCTAGAACTGAGTCTGTGTCCCCTCACTGTTGTCTGTGACTCCAGGGCTGTTCTCCAAGGATGGCTCTGCTTTCACCTCCTGGACCTGAGTTGCCACCTCTCCTGTCTCCTTATCATCAGGTTCACGATGGTCCCCTTGGGATCCCCTATCAGCAGCTGGGGAAGGTGTTTCATCTGCAGGTGTGGCATCTGTGACTTCTTGTGCATTTCTCTGGCATTCAGCAGAACCTTCTGGCAGGTGTTCCTCCATCACCTGAGCAGCAGCTTCTTCTTCTTTCTCCTCCCCCCTGTGCTCCTCAATTCCTTTGCTCTCTTGGATAACAGTGCCATTGCCTAGTGGTTCCTCAGCCTTTCCACCAACAGCAATGGGGGATTCCACGTGGAACTCTTTTACCAGCATTGTACGCAACTCTTTCAGGCTGCTGGGGGAATCCTGTGTTGGAGGTGTTGGGCTAACTTCCGATTCCTCTGGCTCTGTTGCATCTGGCGATGCCTCCAAGGAAGTGACATCATAGGATGGGGTCCCTTCATCTGTGTGGATGACTGACACCACTTGCTTGGCCCGGCGCTGCTTCTCATCTGATGGATCTGACTCTTCCTGGCTGCCAAATTCTTCCCCCCAGTTGATGGGGGTTCCCTCACCCAGCAAGTGTAGGTTGGGGTCGCTGTTGTGCATCACAATGCTGTCACGATATAGGTTGTGTTTCCGCTGCACAGCAGCCTCCTTCACAGCTGAAAGGGTTAAAGCAAAAACAAGAAACACCTTCAGGATGAGGAACAATACTCCAAAGCTGAGCCAATGCTTCAATATTCTTATGAGCTTGGATCCAAATTAGATTATTTAGGGTGTTGAAAAAGCATTGAAACATCAAATCACATCACACATCAATGACGGTGCCATTGCACAACGCACAATACAGGATGCACAGCCAAAATGCAAGGTGTACAGTGCATAGCCACAATGCACAACCATGGCGCAAATTATAGGATGTACAACCATGATCTAGAAGGCCCAGCTTGCAAAGGCAAGGCAGAAATGAACATGCTGTCTCTGCAACTCCACCTTCACTGCTATCAGAAGAATATGTTGGTTGAGCAATGATGACTTTCATCCTGCATGCATAGCATGACTTACACATGCTTTGCAACTACAGCATTCCTCACAAAGTCCAGCCAGCCAGCCAGCCTCTGCTTAGGTATTATGCCAAAGAGTAATATGTCCCAGATATTTATTCCACTGATGAACAGCAATTCTCATTGGGGTGTTTCTCCTCCCACTTTGCTACAATCTGCTCTTCTCTAATTCCCACTCACTGGTTTTCAAACCTCTGGATGACATCTGCTTTATCTTCTGCATGGATATTCCATCAGATATTGGAAGATTGCTATCTTGTCTCCTAAATCTCAATCTAAGCTGCTCTTTCAACTGTGTCTTATAGGACTTGGATTTTTGGACCTCTTCCCCATTCTGAATGTGTTTCAGTTTATTAGTGTCCTTCTAAAGTAAAAGGTAGCAACCAGAATTAAACACAGCTCTCCGGATGAACTTCCTTTTGTAATGTGCAGAGCCTGGGGTTAGGAAGACCACAAAAAGGACCAAATATCCTCCATCCCACCAGATTGGTACCATTACGCTTCCTGTATGTGCCATCTCCATAAGGAGAAAAATGACTTTCTTCTTACCCATCATAATGTCTTTCATGACTGACTGAAGCACCACTTCTTCATATGTGTTCTCCACCAGGATGAAGCGGGCAAAGTCCTCAAAAATCAGCTCCTGGAACCTCGCCAGGTCCTGACAGGAGAAAGGGAGTCATCATAGAAGCCAAGGATTACAGTTAGGGTGAGCACAGTGTGGCTCCAAGGTTGTTTTTTTTGGGGGGGGGGGCAGGGATGAAAAATTGCCCTCCTTCCTGGTGGTACCTACAGTTCAACAACATCTCCAGGGTCATATGGTCCCCAACTTTTCCATGCTATGTACTTTCAAGTCAGATCTGACTCACAGCAATCCCATCTAGGTTTTACTTGGAAAAAATTATTCAGCAAAGGTTTGCCCTGGCCTTACTCTGAGGCTGAGAGTGTGTGACTCACCTCAGAAGAAGGCAATGGCAAACTTGACAAATCTTGCAAAGAAAACTCCATGGGGCCTTGGGGTCACCTAAGCTGGAAATGACTTGAAGGCACACAACTCCCACAATTGTCTTGCCCACATGGCTGCTAGGGGATTCTGGGAGTCACAGTCAAATAAAATAATAATGTTCAATGTTTGCTTATCACTTATGATCAGGAGGGCAGGACTTCCTCCAGCCCAGCAGCACCTATGTCCTGCCAAGGAGCCATCCTTACCCCTTTGCATGTGGGTGCCAACTTCTTCAGTAGGAAGGGAATGGTGATCTGCAAGAGGGCTTCCCGGAAGAACTTCTTCCTCACTGTGCTGCTGTCATAGTCATATTTCTGATGGAAAAAAAGGTGAAAAGGGAAACAGAGTCACATCATTGAAGGGGAGACCCAGTTATAAGAAAATTCAGGAAGAAAACAACAGGATGCATCTGGGTGTCCTGTGATGTAGTGGATCCAAGACTTGCAAGGTTGAAGCATCATGACTTT